AATGTTGTGATTCATCTTGTAGCTCGTTGGTTTGGTTCATGGCTTATAACATTTTAACAAAGTTTTAAATCCCATGGGGAAAAGGGAGTGGAAAAAATACATCCGGGACCATTGCCGCTGAAAAAGTGGACGAACACCAATGCACTCAGTTTCGTGTGTTTAAATGCATCTTTTCAAGGTACTTTAAATCATGCTTCAGAACTGCTGATATGCTATTCATGGGAATCAGCAATTGCGTTGCTTTGGTATTACAGTTAAACGCACTCTTCCGATGGTTATTATAGTTTTTAATCTGGCTAAGGGGCCTCGTTAACATTATCACTAATTGATGCTATTGTCATCACTTCTGTAAATTGGAAAACAAAAACATGCTTGCAGATAATAAATCATCCAAAACAATGAGGAAAGCTCTTGATCTGACAGGAAATTGAATTAAACTGCCTGCTATGTGGCTGTCAGCGCGAGAGGGGTTAAACATTGTGTGTCAGGGGACCACTACTGTGTAGCATCTGAGAGTATAATCTGTTCTAACGTACCAGAGGCTCCTCCGGGCTTTTTAACAGGCAACACCCAGACATTAATCGCTTTGTGATAAATGCATTTATACAGGATTAAACTGAAGATTGCCTTTAGTTTGAGAAAGGGTTGATGGATTATTTAGGTCTGAGTTGAGGGACTCTTGCTGTGGAGTCTCTGGGGACAGTGTGGGTAGAGATCCTGGATATGTATTTACTAGTAGGTTAAATCGGATTTGATCAAATGAAAGAACATCAACTGGTATTTGCTCTCCCATCATGTGTTCTCATGTCTACATTTGTTAAGTGGTTTACCCAACAAATAGTTTGAATGTAAAATGAATACTGTTCATATATAAAGGAGCTTTATAAACTGTCTTCTTTGTCAAGTTTCACATTGCGACATAAAGAAGCATCACTACAAAACTCTTAAATCCTGCAGCCAGATTATTTGTATGTGTGTGCTTATTCTCCATGAACGCTTGAGGAAAAAGATTCTCATGAATGTCGCATGAGTATGTCCATCACCCTCTAAACTACAAGCTCCTCAATGTTGAAAAGAACATATAAATAAATGCAGAAATCACCTTTGTGACATACTCCTCTCACGTACGATAAATTGGACATGCTCTATCTTGGAATAACCTGTCGCCTTTACCATTTCGGCACTGGGAACATATGCAGGACACAATCTGATTCGCTTTTGTTATGCAGGGAATCACGCAGGGGCATCTGGGCTTGTTTGCCTTTGGTGAGAAATGGAGATTGGTTTGGAGGTCTGAATGAATTGCTGGCGTCTGTGTTTATTGCTTTCATTAAGATTTAATGAGTCAAGTGTCCTTCCCAGTGACTTAGATTTTACCCACAGCATTTGACCACAGGAAATGTTGGGCAAGTCTGTGAACTATTGGCATCTGTACCATGTAGACATGTTTGTTAATGTAAGTGCATAGGAAATAGCATAGCTGACATCAACATTGTCATTTCTTATACTTATTTCACCCATAAAATGGAATCTGGCATTTATCCAGGCAATTTTATCCCTAAAAGATGCTGATGTTTAAGCAGTCAATCAGGCGAATGGGTTTGTTGAATGGACATGTGGTTTGGCCTGTACGTCTCAGCAAGAATTTCACACCAAGCTGTTGGATGAGTGGGAACACAGGCCTGAACCATTACACTCTAACACTATTTCCGCTGCATTCGCCATGATTCTCCGACCACAACACCTTGACAGGCCATTTAACAACAGCTCCTAGACAATCATACAGCCTTTTTAAGATAAAGAATAACAGACAATGTTCTGATTCAGAGTGTCTGAAGGGTTGGGCATGTACATGACATTAAAAGCAATGTAAGATAAAAAATAAAATAAAAAAGATTCATTTCAAAACAATGCCACCTATTCATCCCATTAATTACTATAGTAAATTGCTCAAGAAATGCTCATGAGTGTTTTTGTTTTGTTTTTTTAACTAGTCAGCTCATGTGGTATTGATATAGTAATGACAAACTTAACCAGCTTGAACAGCTCCAACAACATATTTACGTCACGTTAAGAGTTTACATAACATGCATTGTCTTAAAACATTTCATTAGAGGTCAAAAAACGTGCATTTCTCCAGCCAAAGAAATGTGCACTTCTATGGTGAATTAGATAAGAAAGCATGAGTCATTTGATCATTTGCTGTGTTGAATGTCTCAAAACAAATGTACATTTGATCAGGTTATTGACTTAAAGAAGCAGAGGTGTATATGCGTATGATATTGCTCAGATTATACCATTTAAATTGTTCATATATAATTGCATTTACAAAGGTAACTAAGAACAAGTAGTGCAATTTATTGTAAAGGTAATATAAAAGCATACTCCACATTTTATGATATTAAAAAGAAAAGAACAAAATTATAAATGTATAAAAAGCGATTGTTACTTATTCGTTGTTATTTTGGGGGAAACTGTCCTTTTTCCAAAGTAGCCTATACGCAACCAGTTCAAGGTCATCTTTAGGAAATAAAGCGTGTGCTCTCCAATGTTTTCTGTCTGACTTTGTTAAGCATGTAGACCAATTAATAAATATGAAGTACGATCAACAACATTGAAAAAAGAATAAAGATATATGGTTTAGATTTTATTGCAATTTAAATGGAAAATAGCTTTATAAACCATTTTATTTCACCGCGCATTAGTATGCAACTTAAAAAAAATATTCGTGGAAATATAATATGGAATTTTTAATATTGTTATTGCTTTTTATGTGTATTTAGCCAATTAATATTTTATCATAATCTGTTTAACGGGAAAATGTTGCACTAGTTCTACATGTAATCGTAGCCTATATATTGCGCAGCGTTTAAAAAGTCTTAAAGACTATTACAAAGACTAGCCTAATCCTATTCGGCATACTGCAGTGAAACTGCCTTTCTAACTTTAGGGCGTAGATTAGGCGTCTGTGCTGAGCATTAATATAGTGTGGGACAGCAGCAGGATTAAGAGTATTTGGTGTTAAATCGGGGTAGTGCGAACGGTCCCTCCCCAGCAATGGGTTAAAGCGGCATTACAGCTTGTAAGATGGGTGTCCCGCAGATCTCCCTGGAGACCAGCTCCACTTGGGTGTTCCAGGACTGAGCAGAGAGCAAAATACGTGCTAAAGCCATTTAGATGCCACCATACACTGTCATGCAGTTGGGATCAGACTATTTTCTACGGTCTGGTTGTTTTTTTTGTTTTGTTTTTTTTCGTTCCAAAATTTGCTATTTTTTTGGTTTAGGTGACAATGTCAGTCGTTAATGTGCATTTAATTCAACCCAAAGAAATAAAAATAAATCAAAGTTTCATTCCCATTCATGTAATTGTCCATTACGAATGATTTGTTGACCATATTTGGCCTGCATTATGTTTGTATGTGACGTTGCTACTTTAGTTAAGTTTAGAAAGTTTAGGCGATGCCCATAGCTTTATACTCCTAATGAGAATTTTGAGGATCAGTTGTTTACATTCCGACTTTCATTTGCAGTATGATATGCAAATTGGACAACTCCGACGAAAAGCAATTAAGCAGGGTTACCTACGTGAGAAGGAGAAACACGCTAGGGAAAAGCTGATCTCGTTGCTAGCTATAACAACAATAATAGTTCGATTTTTAGGTCTTGACTTAATTCGTTTTAACTTACAGCTTTTTATAACACTATATATATATATATATATATATATATAAACCACATATAAATATATTTTAGATCTTACTTTTATATTGCATCCTTGAAAGTAGCCTACTCTATTTAAAAGCAGCTTGGACCTTTTTATTCGAGGCCTCCTGTCTTAGATACACGCATATCACAAGCAAATATGGGTAATATAATAATAATAATAATAATAATGATTATTATTATTATAATGATGATGATGAATTATTATTATTATTGCTATTAGCCTATTATTATTATTATTATCGTAGTTGATGTTGATGATGATGATGATTTTTTTTTTTTAACATTGTACAGAATCAACAGAAACAATCTGAGTAGCTACCGCTCCTTTATTCTTTTATTTACGTTGTGAGTGTAAACCTGATCTTTCTATAAATGTCCATGGTAAGACTTATTTTGTCTGATGTCAAACATTAGGTCTACCTAGGATGCTGCAAATTGTATACTTATGTTGGTGGCTGTTCTTTTAACGATGTAAACAGACCAGAAATTCGCCGAATTTTCTTCTTGGTTGTCGAAAATAATTTAATTTGTAGAACGTTTCGCTTTCGTTACATGGGAGTCTTGTACGAGCGCAATTTGGTTGCAAAGCCTATGCGTTTATCTCGATAACAAGTTTGTCCGATTAAAAAAAAAAAAACACTAAAGTGTATCTGAGAACTCCATTTGATGGGCTGCGTTTATTGGCACGGCGAAACCTGTGCAAGTCTTCTGCATTATCACTGATATCAATCAGCTGGAACAGCCATCTGACAGTCGGCTGAAAGAGCCCCTTAACATCAGCACTCGAGCTGTGTCTGTTCAAGCGTCGAACTATATTGCCGCGAAATCAAAGTTGCACGCACAAACCTCCAATATGAAATCCTTATTAAGCCAAACACACGCAGCATGCATCGAAAGCCTCAGCAGTGAGCTGGATTTAATGATGAAAATGTTCGTACCTGGAGCCTGCAGAACGGTACCGGAGCCTCTCCCGCTGCCTTCTGCACAGGGCTGGAAGCCTCGCGGCATTTATTTGAGCTCAAACTCTGTCACTGTTGACTTTAGCAACAAAGCAAAGATTTCACTGCCCCGCTAGTTTAAAAAAAAATGATTATTTTACCAAGATATCGATCAGTGCGCTATAAAAATTCAGCCTAGCATTGTGTCTAAAACGAGGGGCAGCGAAATTTAATTTCTGTGTAAATTTACCTAGAAGTGACATGCTCTTATTCAAAGTTTACACTCGTGTGATTTGATTTCTCATGTACACATCCTATATGTATTAATACCGCCTTTTTCATTGTTTACCAGTTTTTGTTTAATCGCAGATCATGGGGGTTTGAAATACAATGGAATGGACTGAGAACTAAAAACACAGAGGTAACAAAACCAGGCCTTCTTTGCCATTATTCAAGTTGAAGGAGAATTCACATAGTGTACACATTCATGTGATACCCCAGGGGGATGATTTGTTGGCCACAGATGACTTCTTGATCTGCAAGTTTACTATTAAAAGGAGAAAGCCTGTAACCCAGCTTCCTTCTGTGTGTCGGACCAGCAATGCGAGGCCTGTCAAATATGCCCTTCTACTTAAACATTTCTGTTTCTGGTTTTAGTTCAGACTTATTTGTCCTGTTATTTTATTATTATAATTTTTATTTATTTATTTACTTTTTTTGTTTGTTTTTTTTACATCAGAGGAGTCTCAAGTCGTAAAGAAACGAGAGACTTCGTAAAGATGAAAGAAGATATTATTATTATGATGATTATTATTATTATTCGGTTGTCAAATTTAAATAAATCCTAGGTTTCATCAAATATTTGTTGCAAAACTGGTGAACTGTTTTAATAAATACAGCCTATATTTCATGATATTTTTCATTTTTACATCAAAAGGGTCTCGCGTCTAATTCGTATACAAGAGACTTTCTAAAGATGACAAAAAGATGTTGCTGAACTCAGAAATGGGCTCGGTTTTTTTATATAACTCATTTAAAAAACTTATGTCATCACATATATATACCGTGCATGTATAAATAAATAAATATATATAATTATATAGAGTATGCAAATAAGTTGTCGTCTTTGACGTGGGTTTCTAAACACAACGCTACATTTTATTGTCGTGATAATAGATTTGAAGTGAGTTATCGCTTTTTTACTTAAAATGCAATGCATCTTTCAAGGCATTCGAATATAACTAATAGTGGTTATTTGGGGAATTTATGAATGTTTTGAAAAGTTTGTAATTAAAAGCATTTTAGCTTATTTCATTTATCAGGGAAAATTTTTTTTTTTTTCTGTTTTTATTGTTGATTTATTACAGTTTTTCTGAATTGCTAAAACACATTTCTTGAAACCATCACTCATTTTCTCAAAACCTTAAACACAAATCCAAATTCACAAAACCTCTGACTCTTGCATCAAAATCAAACAATCACTGCAAAACCATTTCACTTGCACTCAAAATCAAACTGTGCGCTCAGATCAAACACAGAGTCAATCAAATAAACACTACAGAGCATTCATTAGACATTACAGAGGAAAATGGGGAACACGGCATCCAGAACATTACAGAAAAAACGTATATTGTATTGAGTAAACAATTTTGCAATTCTGTAAAAAA